AGGAACGTCTAAGCGCCATTGGAGGGGAAAGAAAATAACCAGTTGGCTTTTCTGGATGTCCTCAGAACCCACAAAGACTGTGGTGGCCTAAAAACTAAAATCTTCGGAAAAAATACCAACACTATGCAAGTATTGAACTTCAACAGCAACCGCACGATCATTCCCAAACGCAGTTGCGTAAGGGCACTATACCGGTGCCTTGAGATGCATTGGAACGAAACGGAAGACAAAGTTGCTGAATTACAGTATCTCCGAGGAGTACCAAGAGGGAGTGGCTACACGCGCAACTTTGCCAACCATTACATACGCAAATGAGACAAGAGACCAAATTCAACTGGCCCTAGCGTTTGGCGAACCCCTCCATACATTAAGAATGTATCGGAAGCAGTCAGCGGCTTTCTCACGCCACTTGGAGTTACATTTGCACACAGGCCAAAGGCAGCCATCAGGCGCCGGATCATGGGGCCAAAAGACCCCTCTTCGAGGCAGGAAACGGCTGCAATCGTTTACCGGATCGAGTAAAAGCAACTGGACGATTACTCCGGACGCGAAGGTCTGAGCACATAGCAGCGGTGAGTAGGAAAGACGCTTCCTCTCAGGTGGCAGCTCACTCGAGGGAACGTGTTCATATTTTCAGTTTCAAAGAAGCCGAAATCCTCGCAAGAGTTGACCACTATGCGAGCTACGAGCTAGTCGAGTCATGGATCTCGGGCTCGTTCCCATATTCCGTACTGAGGCTTTGCCTCAGTAGAGGAATCATTTACGTGAGGAGAGCGCAGATCATCAACAATTTCGATGACAGCGAGCCCTGGTTGTCGCGTAACCATCATGCCACCATTTAACGCAGCTGACGAAATCGCAGCAATTAATGGCTCTGACGAGGACTGTCAAGTCATCGTCGCATCCATCACGACCCCAAGCGATGGTCAAGAAAGCTGATAATTTTAGTACGTATGTGTTCATATGGACTATAAGTTCCGCGTAAACTGTACCTTTATCACCCTTTTCTGTGGTTACCTCAGATTATTGATTCAAGCCAGAATGCAAAAAATCAGACAACTAAATGGTCGCATCTTCTACTCCCCAACTGTTTCCTGGAGCTCGCCTGTTCGCTTCTATCAGCAACGTTTATTACCGTCTTATG